GAATAACAAGTAAAGAGAAAAAAAGAAAACTAAAAGGAAAAGGAAAGTCAAGCATAAAGAAGAAAAGAAAGGCTAATTAGCAAGTAATAGAAGAAAGAAAGAGGAAAACAAAAGAAAAAGAAGAACAAATAAAAAAAGAAGTTAGAAAGACAATTAACAAGCTTGTCATGAAAGGGGGAAGACCCTTTTATTATAGACTTTAAGTAGTTAGACAAGTAGCTTACTTCTGCTAGAAGTAATGCAGCAGGTTGCACTTAGGTGCTATTAGGGTAGCCAGGTGATGCTAGGCTTAGTTGTTAGGTAAATTTATATAATTACTGTAGTAGTTTCAAAAATCTTAATAAAGCACTAGCGTAACTGCTTAAAAAATTAAAAAAAAAAACTTCAATACAAACTTATAATAAAACTATTAGGTACATAATATTAAGAAACTAAAAAATAAAAACTTATTTAAAAATCTTAAATAAAAAAGTAGTATAGATTAGAAATAGTAATCAGTCATATATCTGATGATTGATCATTAATTGATCATATACAAGTTAGATCGATACATAATCGATTATAGTTTTTGATCGGTCATAATTATTTAATTGGTCATAATTATTTGATCAGTCATAATTATTTGATCGGTCATAATTATTAGATCGATCATCAATCATAATTATTGATTGATTATAATTATCTATAATCAAATTATTATATATAACTAATTATATATATCGATATATTTATAATTTACTTATTAAATTAGTTATAAATTATAAATAATTTATCTTTTAGCAATTTTTTTAGTACAGTATAATATATGTAACTTTAATTTTATAAATATAAGCTAACTCTTATTTATTTATATACATATTGCATATGTATTATGCAATAACTACATATTTAATTTATATAATAGTTTGAGACAATAGTTTTTTATAACTCTATAACACAAATCAAGTAAAATAATAAATTTTTTATTAGAAATGAATATTTTCATTCTAATTTGTTTCAATACTACTACAAAGCTTTACTTCTGAAATTGTGTCTAATTTTATTTTATTAACTAGCAAAAAACAAAAAGCATAGATACAACTAGTTATGTATTAGAAAAATGCTAGCTAGCCAAAGGTGCTGAAAATAAATTAAATTAAAGACTTTAAGTTTGCAGAATACATTGAAAGTAATTTGAGCTAAATAATTTAAGCTAAAACGATGATATGCTTCTAAAAAAATTGGCAAGTAAGATTGCACTAGGTATCATCATAACAGTAGAATGAATCAACAGTGGTTTTTTGCCTACTCAAAGCATAACACAAAGCTATAATTAATGCTATAACCTAAATTAAAAGCCAAATTTAAATATATAAAAGCTATATATAATAGAAACTAATTGCGGCTTGCTAAAAATATTTTATTGTTGATTTTTAGTAGAAATAAAGCCACAATTGTTACAACTTAAAGCCAAAACAAAACTTATATCAATGTCATAATTTAATAAATTAATAGCTGCAATTTAAATATTATGAATCTTGTAATTGTTAACTAGAATTATATAGTTATGAATAAATTGAATAAATGTACAAATATCCAAGCTATCTACCAAAGCATCAATATCAAATTCTATATTGCATGATTCTCTTTAATATTGTCTTTAACAATTTCAGAACTAACAATACTGTCAAGCACTAGAAGTTGTACTATAAAATTGGGAGAATCTAAGTCCATCGCATTACTAATTATTAATGATTCACTCTCAATTGGAATATTACTTTTTATTTAATTAATATAATGAATGATATACTTCTTATTTAATTGATATAATGAATCAATTATTAATATTGGCTTTAGAAAATACTGAATGCCAAAATACAGGTAAAAACTATATATATCAAAATACTTTTTACATATATAAATATTGCTAAAAAAGGCTTGATTACTTAGTTGATTTACTATTCTATGTATAATACTAAAAAAATTGAGATAGTAACATAAATATAGATCTGAAATGCTAAACTGCATAAATATATATATTTATAAATAATTTGATCAGTTGTTATGAACTTAAATAGGCAAGAATATAAATGAATCTCTAAATAATACTCTATGTACTGCAAGTTATAATAAATAGTATAGTGAATAGTTAAGCAGCTCTTGTGGATTTATAAATGTAAATCTACTCATAGAATTGAAAATCTATATGTTAGCTTAATTTTAACAATTTGTTTAAATTTGCAAGAGGTTCGTAATACCTTTCTTGATACCTTAGTATAAGTGCTTTGTACCTGTTCATAATTAAGCTTTACTTAATACATTAGTGCAAGTATGTGATCTAGATATTTTTCAATGATTCGATAATTTACTAATTTATTAATATTTCATATTTTTTATACTAAAATAAACTTTTAGCAAATGTGCATTATTTGGTTTAGTCTAGTATTTTATTTTCTTGTTAATTCTTCTATTCCAATACCTTCGTCAGTTATTGCTATTATCATATTTTAATAAACTACCTTTTAGTAAAAAAAAAAAAAAAAAAAAAAGCCCTTTTCACTAGTGTGTATTGTATTTAATATAAATGAATAAAGGTTAATTTTCAATTTTTGGAAATATTGTATCATATCGCTCTTGATTTGCATAGCAAAAAACCAATTTGCTAAATGTTTGTAGCACCAATCAAGTTCTTTTTTTAGTTATTACATTTCCACATTGAGAAAAGAGATGCTCACAAGGTACCGAGGTTGATAGAATTGTAAGAAACTTTTGAGCAAGGCTTGCTAATTTTGGATGCGAATTTTTGTGATCTGCTTACCACTGTAAGAGATTTTTTAAAGGTCCAATTGTTTTCATCATAAGATATTGATCAACTTCATTTTTGTGTGTTACCTTTTGTTGAACTACCATAAAAACTGTTGATATGAATGACCCAGATAGATCAAATGCTACTTTGTTCAATGATGACCCAAAACTTTTATCACTTATAATTTGATCATATTCTAACCTAAGGTAATCTTGATACTTCAATGTAGCACCTTCAAATTTAAAGTTTTTGCATCTTGGATCAATTGCTGTTGCAGTAAATAATATTCTATCATTAGAAAACTAATTATAAATTAGATATTTAATTTAAGTAATTCAATAAACAATACCACATAGCACAGTACTGCATATAGTATCCCTTTAAGTAAAATTAAGTACTATTCAATCATAAGTTCTAACATTTTTAAAAAGTATTCCAGTATTAATCAAAAAGTAATTTATTACAGTTCATGATCTAAATTAATGTTGTTATACAACACATATAATCAATACTCTCTTCAAAGTACCTCTGTTATTTAGTACCTCCTTTATACAGTACCTGGGGTATTATTTAATTTACCTTAGCATTTTTAAAAAGAGCCAGAATACTATATGAAGCACTAGTAAATATATTAAAATTTTACCTTATAGTATTTTATAAATAATTTAGACATTATCTTTTTAATGTGTTCAGCAGGAGATTTTATTTGTTCTAATTCTTTATCTTCTGATTTCTCATCAAATATATTAATATCATTTGTCATATCAAGATCTATTTCATCCATAGTGTCTTCATCTAGAAATTCTTTTAGTAAAGCATTATGAAGAGAACATATAGTCAGATAAATAATACACATCATTGAGTATGAACTTCCTGAAATATAATTTGTTATATTACTAAATAGCTTTAAAACTTTAATAATATCAGAAACTACAGTTCATTCATCCTCTGTAATCATAATTGATTTTAGATGTTTTCTATTTTTAATTGCATCTCTTTCTGGCTAAACAGTTAGTAAACTTGCAAATATCTCGATGTAAAGTTTGAGCTCAAGCATTTGAACTCATGCATTATAGGTGGAGTTTCAGCGAGTCTTGACATTACTTTGTGCCTGTAAAAAGATGAGATTTTTCTTATTCTGCATACAAACCTGATTTTATTAATATAAAATTATAATACAAATAGAGTATAAGCAGCCTGATATTAAAAATCTAAAGTTGTAAAGCTTTTTTGGATCTTCTTTAGTATAGGTAGGCAATATAAGAGCTAATGATTAGTAATCATTAATTTTTTAATAGCGGAGTTGCGGAGTTTGCAGGTTTGCCCACCTATACTAAAGAAAATCTACTTTTATCTGAAAGTTCAATTAAAAAAATTTTAATCAAGATCCATAAACTAGTATAAACGAATTTCATTGACAACTATCTGCCAACAGCCCAAAATTGAACTAATTTAGATTAACCTATAAAAAAATTAATCTGTGTTTTTGATTTCATAGTTTATCTATAAATGCTGCATATTTATAGAATTTATACCTTCGAATGACAGAAGCCATTCAGCTTACCAAATCCTATTGCAGACTTACAGAACAGTAAAATAGAATTTTTTTACAGTGTATAGTTGGCTTAATTAATAGTAGTGTTGGCTAAAAGTAAATTGTCAGCAAAATAGCTACCAGTGAATTTAACCAAACCTAACAAAAGTAAAACCACTCCAAGTTGATTCTCTATTTAATATAACACAAAATATCTTATATGAAGGGGCATAAAACAAATTCTAAATCTCAATGCTTATAATTTAATTGATTAGGCTACTTATATATATAGTAAAACCTCCTTAAGTGCATCCTCCTTGTGATCATAGTAAAAAAAAGCAAAACATGCACTTAAAGAGTATGTATATTTAGAGTCAAACATATAGTGCACTTATAAGTTAGAGCCAAGCCATGCCATGCATTTACATAGAACATGCACTTATAGAGTATATACTTGTAGAGGTTTTCTGTATTTACTTTTAAGTTACCTTAGTTGCCTTTTCTTGACTCAATTTTCATTGTTGAACTGATGCTTGCACTGCATCGAGTTGCTCACTTTGTTTAGATAAAACAAAAAATTTAATCAGACAGTTCATTCGAGTAATTAGGTGCTTAGCAGATAAGAGCCCTTTTTGTACAATCAGATTCAATATGTGAGCAGAACATAGAACCCATTTTACACCAAGTTTATTGCATGCTAACTTCATATTTGCTCTGCTATCTGACATAATTGAGAAAACTTTGCTTTTTATACTTCAATATTCAAGAATGTCCTTAATATATTTCACGATTGCATCATCTGTATAAAGGTACTGAAGGGAAGTAACTGCCAAAACAGCTTCATTTAGCTCAAACTTTTCATTGATCCATGTTGTCGTAATGTCCAAGTAACCTTTACACAAACACACTGTTCACAAATCCACAGTTAATGATATAATTTTATCTTTGTATAAACCATGTCTCAGGCTAGAACTGATTTGATTAAATCCTTCATTAATTAGACTCTTAACCTTTCCCCTGCTTGGTACAATCTATTGTAAATCCATAATTTTTGCAAACTGTTTAAACATTTTTTCTTCTATAAAAGATAATGAAAGGTTTTGTGTGACAATAATCTCAGTAATGGCTTTATCACGAATAGCTTGTTTAGTTGTATTATGCAGTTTCGAAGAAGAAATTTCAAATGCCCTTTTAATAGTTGTCTGCTTTTTGTTTGACTTAAAAAAAAGTTAGATTCATATAGTAAAATTTTAATAATTCTAACTGAAAAAAGCTTACTTGTTGCCCCCTATTTTCTGAGTATCTATGCACATTCTTTAGATGCCTCTATAGTGCCATTGTCGACTCACCAGTCTTTACTTTTGTATCACAAGGTTTTCTATCTGTCAGTTCAATATTACATATACTATGTCAGATATTATCAATATATACTTCTTCAAACCATTTCCAAGCAGGGCTATGAAGTAAGGATCACTAGCCTTAATTACTCTCTTGCGTGTGATGACATCACATGATTGACCAACAGATGCATCTGGTATGTTAGCTTTTCGAGGTTCGGAACCAACCGAATAAGATGAATTAGTCTTGTCATAATGTTCAGAAATTCTTATTTTTTTTTGTTTCTGGGAGTATATTAGATCAAACACATTCTTTGTTCCCAATACTGCTTTTAACTCACAGTTACGAAAAAAATCAGAAGGTTGCCTTCGTAATTGGGAACATGAAACTGCGGCCATTACTGTAGCTTTTCCTTTTCTCTTTTTTATTTGCTTGAATATCTCCTATATTGATTAATTGATAGTTCTGAGTAATTGGAACCAGTAGGTACTGCTTCTTCTTCTAAGCTTAATTCTAATACATAATCACCAACTTCTCTATAATCACCAACTTTTTTATAATCATCAACTTCTTCATAATTACCAGCTTCTTTATAATCATCAACTTCATTATCAGCATATAGTCCTTCACTAGTATATAGTCTTTCACTAGTATATAGTCCTTCATCAGTATATAGTCCTTCACCAGTATATAGTCCTTCAGTATATAGTCTTTTTTCTGCTGACTAATTTTTGGTATGACTATACAATCTAGGTCATTTTCGCTTATATTATTTGTATTTGAACTTGTACTTACTGCAGGAGTATCTTCATAATTCGTAGGTTCTGATGGATTATTCATGTTTAACTTTTGGGTTCTTGTTTTTTTATTTTCAGCTAAGATATATCTATTTTTTTGAGATTAGAAATTGCTTTGTAACTTCTAACTATTTAGCAAAATAGCAGTAGCAGAATATAGTATCCACTACTAAAATATTGAAAGAAAGATAATAACAATAAGAGCTTACTTCTGAAATTATTAAAAAGACAGTATTACTAATTTAGTACTGATAAGAGTCCACTAAAATTATTAAAATAGTGGTCTTACTAATTTCATACTGATAACGATAACAGGAATCTTGGATTTAAAGTTCTTATATATCAAAATTGAATTAAGGTTTTCTGAAAGTTCTTATATACCAGTATCGAATCAAGATTTTCTAAATTGGTCTAAAAATATAAAACCAGATCCAAAACTTTAAATTGAATTCTGACTATAGACATTATAGTAGTAACTGTTTACTAATAAATCAAATCAATAAATAGTAAAAAACCCTTAATAATTCAGAGTTTGGGCCCTCATAAAATTTAAGTTCAAGTTTGTAAAATTATTGACCGAGTCACAAATTAGGCTGCTTCAAATTACTTGAGTAACCTGGAAGACTCAGTTATTATAAACTTATAAAAAATATTAATTAAATCCTTTTGCTAATTTTTTTAATATATATTATAGTATCTATTCGATCATATATCAATTATAAGTTGAAATGATAAGTAGCAAATATTTATGAACTTGCTATATTTCAAACAATAAATATTTTTTATACTTATGAGTTAAAGAAATAGTGATAGTAAATATTCATTAGCTCTGGTTGCTTATTTTAAATTTAAATACTTATATTTAATAAATGTTTTACTTATATACTAAATTATTATAAATAGAATAGATTTATTTTAAATACTTAGACTAAACATTATACACTAAATTATTATGAATAAAATGAAATTAAGTAGTAAGTATTTATGAACTTGAATATTTTCTTTTAAATACTTAGATAAATAAATGTTCTTCATACTTACATGTTAAGTTAGTGCTAAATATAATAAACACAATCTAGCATACATATCATAAATACATATTACTGATTTAATATGACAAGAAAGAGGTATATTTTTAAGCAAATAATTAACTTGGATAACCCAAGCACGTATATACATATATATAATCTTCAGTTTGTACATAAGTATATAGAAAACATGCAATGTATAATTAACAAAGTATATACAGTAGAAGTTAAATTTTTTACATAGAGATTTTATCTATGAAGAAGGGTAATGTTAGATCTTACTTTAACCCTAACTATTAGGCAATTTCATCTTTTTTGATTCACAAGATTCATTCTTTTTTGATTTATAAAAAAGACCCACTTTTTTATTATGGTTGGAAGGGTTAAATCATATAGATAGTATCAAAAGAGTGTCTTTTTTTATAAACCAAAAAGAATAAAATCTATGAATCAAAAAGGATGGGCTTGCAATAAATATTATATTTTTTGCTAACTATACATACCTTTGTAATTTATTTTTGCAATACCCAACCTTATTTGGCACTGTAATTGGTCATGCACAAGGATAACAAAAATAGGTTAAACAGTTTTTTAGACTTTTTTATTGTTTTTAAAAAAGTTATAAAACATCAGCAAAAATGTATTTTAAAATTTGAGTTTGTTACAAATATTACCGTTATATGTAAAAGTTATAATAAATGTATTTTGGCAGATTTAAAATTTTTTTTATCAACATTAATTTATTTTAAATACTTTATTTACTATTAGTTAAGTATTCTTTCTTCTCTTTCTGCATTTAGTCTATATTGAAAGTTAAGGACCACAATGCATGTATATAGATTAATAGGAGAAACCATTAATATTACATCAAGTAAGAGATTATATCCATCACACATATAAATAATTTCATTTTAACTGATCACTTCATGTGAATGACAGGGCAAGGGATTATATCTATAACATATATTTTAGAGTAAACACAAAATAAATAATTTTATTATTGGTTGACTACATTGTGAAGGATTAATGTGTAAGATTGATGGTTTCTCCTGTTATACAGATTATCTTGCAAAATATTAAGACTAGCAAATATTATTAAGTTCTTGGAAATAAACTTCATAAAGATTAGAAGCAGTACAATAATAAAATAATTTATCTTTCCCAAGTTTATCGTTATCATTAAACCAACCATTGTTTAAGCATATACAATATTATTATAGATAGAATTAATAATATTTAGCAGCGAAAAAAGCTAGCAATGAGAGAATCTGAAAAGAAAATTTAATGTCAGAAAAAAAAATTTTGATGCTATAACCTAATTGAATTTGAACGCTTAAAGCAATAACCTTGAGGAATCATCAGCTTTAGTGATATGAATTATTCAACTATTATAATAATATATACTAAACTATTTTTAAACAATAAAAAATCAAACAATCATGATTTTTAAAATTATGTTTTAAAACATTTGCCATTTTTAGTTATGCATATGATTGATCAAAAGTTTATAGCCAATCAAACATTTATGACTGATTAAAAAGTTTGTGACTGATTAAAAGTTTGTGACCGATTAAAAGTTTGTAACCGATTAAAACTTGATGATCGATTATAATCGAACAAAACTTCATAATCGATCACGATCATTTTGACCAAGTAATTGGTCATACTATGTTCGATTCTCATCTCTAAGTGGTACCTCTTATTCAAGGTTCTTGTCTACCTGATTTCTTCTACATTGGTATCTGTTTCCTAGGTCTGACCTTTATAGTAGTACTGTCAAAGATCTGTACTACCTCTTTACTCAGGTCTTCACAAATGGGCTCTGGTTTTTTCAATTCATGGATTTACATAGCCACGAAGACTTATCTTGTGTTTGCACCATCTGATGCCAGTTTGTATTCCTCTGTATAACTCCAACATTGCACAGATGCCCCATGACCTGTCAGTTATCTGGTGTAACCATATTACAGATACTGATCCCAACTGATTGACAGATTGCTGTTATTATAGTACTGGTTTCAAGAACTTATCTTGTGTTTGCACTGCCCAATGCCAGTTTGCATTTCTTTGTATAACTCTAACATTGCACAGATGTCTGTATACACCAATATAACATAGGTGGTTTTTCAAATTTTTGCCATCGGTGGGTTTTGAACTTCCAACCTATCACTTGGTAGGTTAACAACTTATTAACTTTACTAAGTCACTACACATTTTGTCTTAAGTGTTAATTAATTTAAATTAGAGTTAGAGTTAGAATAAGAATTAAGTTATAGTTTAGACCAATTAATGTTAATCCATTAATGCTGGCCAAACAGTTAATATCTGAAATGCTTCAATTAAAAATTGATTTAAGGCACAACATATATATATTGTTTTATTTATATTTGATATTGAGTTTTATTTAATTAAAATAAAGTTTAAGTAATTATTATGAATTAAAAATATTTTTGTCATGCTGAAGCTAGAAATTTTAAATACTTTTAATATGAAATTTTCAAGTTTTTTAGAAAAATATTTTTTTTAGCTTTTTTTTATAGTTAGATTAGAATTTAGGATTAGTTTTGATCATAAAAGAGTATAAATAGATTATAATGTGAATATCAAAAAAAATGAACATATGAAATTCTTAGTTATATTTATAGTGCAAAGATCTCAAATGACTAATTTATTGCTTATCAATATTATTTTGTTAGTCTGAATTTTTGTTTGTTATATAAATTTTTAGTGTTTAATATATTAGTCATGTAATATTCGAAAACTTTTTTGGTGATAATTTTACCCTGGTCTATATTATCATTATATGTGCCAATACAGTTATACCTAAGTTATATTCCCTCTTTTTTCTAGAGTATTTTTGAAGATATAAATGAGGTGAGGATATAACTAAGGTATAATCTAAATTAAGTATATATAGTCACATGATATCAAACTAATTAGAATTTAATATTTTAAATAAGTATACATTATTGGGCAAAAATTGTTGAATAATGGCAATTTGGCAAATAAGTATGTACTACTTTGCAGCACATGTAGCCAATCATTTGCCAAATTACTGTGTTCGACAATTTGCCCAATAATGGTGTTATCTGGCAATTTATGATCATGATTGATAGAGAGTAACTTGCTGAGTTTTATTTTTTGAATATTAGAATAACATAATTATATCATAACATATGAAAAAAATAACAGAAAGATATTTTTTTATAATCATATGAATTGCCAGATAATATAAATTTATTTAAATAAAAGAAAAATAATACTAATAAATTAAATAACTATACAGTAAATATAATTATTATATTATTTAATTTATAAATATCTTTTAAGAATTAAATATTTTATTTAATTGTAGCTAATATATATCTTTATTTATATTATATGTAATTTATTTAATATATATAATAATATATTAATTTTATTAATTTATAAAATATTTGTCAATAGTTGATTGCTTAAGATTAGATCAGTAAAAACTTTCTGCTTTTTTAATAATTTGTTGCAGCAAATAAATATCATCCTTAGTAGCAAATTGCGATTGCTCAAGATATTTTTTTGCTACTTTTAATGCCTTTTTTTCCTCATTATATGAAACTAAATCATTTATAATTTCTTCCTCCTCTTCATTATTAGCTTCATTATTTGAATCTTCATCATTAATCAAATCTTGCTCTTTAAGAATATCTTGAACAATGGACTCTTCAGTTGGTATATCCATTATTTGCAAATGCTTATCTACTTCTACATATTTTTCAGCTGATAATTTAATATAATCATATGACATTTCTAATTCTTCTAATAACTGCTCAAGTTCATTGATATTATTATTATTACTTGTATTAGTAGTTAAATTTATCTCTAACAGAAGTATTTTTGTTTTCTTCCAATAGTGAACAATTGTTGATGGCAATACTTGTTTCCAAGCATCAGAAATCATATAAATAGCTTCTTTTATATTAATTGGTTCAATTGATTTTCCATTTTCTACTTCATTTATCCATTTTGTTACTAGTAATTTATGATAATTAACTTTGAAATTTTTAATAATGCCAGCATTGCATGGTTGAATAACTGATGTAGTATTAGGTGGTAAAAATTCTAATTTAATATTTTGCAATTTAGGGCTTGAATATGCATTACAATTATCAGCTAAAAGAATTGTAAGCTAATTAACTTGACTATCTAACTATTTTAACCAATCTTTTCATTTTTTTCCTGTTATCCATGCTGTTTGATTGTTTGAATAATGTACAGGTAATTTTGACATATTAGTATATTTTATACACTTTGGACATGCACTTTTGTCAATTACAAATAGTTTAAATTTTTGAGTTCCTAATACATTATAGCAAAGAAGTATAGTAAGATGTGACTTGTCTTTTTTATATTCTTTAGCAGTATCACTTTTAGATGCAAGTGTTTTATTTGGTTCAAGATGAAAATAAAGGCCTGTTTTATCAGCATTAAGAATATTATCAGGATGATAATTATTAAGTAATTCTTGAAAATGGCATCATCCACTTTCAATTGCAGCTTTATCAGCTAATTTACTTTCTTCAGATATGGTCTTTAAACTAATATCAAATCTTCGTTGAAATCCAGATACCCAACTATTAAATGCCTCAAATGTAGTTAAAAATTCTATACCACTATTTTTTAATTGTTCATATATTGAAAGTGCTTTTGTTTTAAGCATATCCTGTAAAACAGGAATATTATGAGAATGTAGTTCTAAAAATAACTTATAAACAGCCTTATCAATAATATGAAACTGTCCATTCTGTAAGCGAACACATTATTGTATATGAGCAGGTGTAGTATTATATAACTGAAGAAGATTATTTTTATCTTGCAAAATATTGCTTATTGTAGATCTATCAATATCATATTCTTTGGCCAAATCCATATAAATTAAGTTCTTATTTTCTTCTTTTCTTTTAATAATCTCAACTTTCTTCTCTAAAGTAATAACAGACCTTTCCTTTCGCTTTTTACTAAACTTTGCAACAGACATTTGTAATAAGATTAAGCGATACTAATAGATGAGCCTAAAATTTTTTTTTTGTACTTTTTTTTTAGTATAAGATTCTAAGATACTTTATACATATTATGTAACTATTCAATAATTAATATGAATTAAGAATGTTATAAAACAAAACAGGATTATTTTTTTTTATAAAAAATAATTAACTGCTATATAAGGTTTGAATAATATATAAAACTAACATTTTTTTAATTTTTTTTTTTTTTTGTTTTGTCATGTATATCAGACACAGTATATAATTTTATATAACTAAAACCAAAACTTGTTAAAAGGTATGTAGTTTTATTGTTTGTGTTTGTAACTAAAAGATTTCTAGTATGTAGTATATGAAAATTAGAATATGTATTATTATATATACTATAGAATCTGTAAGTTTGTAAAGATGATTTTAAAAAACTAATATTATATAAATTAGTAAATAAACTTACAA